TTTTTGCATAACCTTTTCAATCTGTTAAAAAAAGATGGAACATGAATTCATGAAAACTTAAAAAAATATTTAATCTGCAATACAACACAGGTAATGTAATACACGCCTTTTCCACAGTGCAGTAGTACTAGTAGAACTCTAGACTAGCATTGCTTTATTTACCATATGAGAGTTTCCTGTGTTAAAAACATGATTTATACTACACTTATGGATACTTGTACTTTATAATAAGAGAAATCTCATATATTGATACCTGGAACAGTAATACGAAAGTACTATGCTACTGCACTGTAATGCTTAGGCCTATTTTAATACACTACTTAGATAGGGTTTTCTTTTTCCATCTTGATTTCAGAGGTCAAAAACATTTTTCAATTTTTTTTTCAATCATATAATGGTGTAGAATAGTCTTTTGAGAACATTTTCCAGAAAAAAATAAGGTGGTACGATCCTCCGTTATGAAGTTTTAGATAACACGAGGACAAGAATTCTGCTTCAAAGCTTATTTTCATGGTAGGGAGGAAGATTTTTTTTTTCTCACATCAAACATGAAAAAATAGTGTCACAAGGAAAACCATGAGACCAAAATTGCATACAAGAAATTATGTAATTCATCTAAACCAGTCTCTTATACACATCTAGATGTGTATAAGAGACAGGTATTGCTTGCCTAAATAATAATGCACAATTTACTCCAACACAACAGGCATCATGGATGCCATGTGGCTACAATAGTATAGAACAACAGTAGAGCATAGAACTGCAAGTGATCTGGCTAACATGCGGATGGGTGGTAAACAGACCTATATATTTAATGGAGTTTTGTTAAAAAAAAAAAAAATCATTCAAGTCAGTGGCCTCTCTGATGGTTGGGAGGGGATGCTAACCAATTCTTTTATTTTACATGGCCTTAATTTGTATTCTAATCGAATGGTTCTTACTTCTTGACAACAGGAACGATTTCCCCACATCTCTTCCACGACGCAGTTTCCACAAGTACACCTGAAAATAACAGAAATGCATTTTTTTTATTAAACTAATGATTTTATAGAACATAATAGAAGGACTAGGCCCAATTATCATAACTCAGACAGGTTCTATTTCCCCAAATAGAAGCCCAGGGTATGATTTTAATGGCTCAGTTGACTTAAATTCTAGTCTACAAATACTTTCAGAAAAAAAAAATCAAATATACGCTTTAAATTATGCATGCAATGTTCAAATATTCCGTTTGGTTTTCCATCCATACAACTTTAAATAGGGCACGCTGATGTCAGATTTAAAAGGATATTTTTTTTTTATTTGGTTAAAATGGAATTCCCCTGCCCTGGGTATACACCCACCAACTAACTAGGCTAAAATAGGCCAAACATGGCAATAGGCCTTAGTCATTAGTATTTAGTACCACCCTAACCCTCCCTACAGTATAGGCCTAGCCAAAGATGGCCTAGCCTAGATAGGCAAAGAAGGGCAATCCTAGGCATATAGACCTCGCTAGACTAGGCCCTAGGCCTAGGCTATATAACAGGCCTAGCCTAGGAAGGTACCCCAGACTATGAATTGGCTAGGCCTAGTTAGAAGCCTCCACCCAAACAAAAAAATGCCATAAAAATCGTCCGCGCAATTGGAAAAATAAGGGCCAATTTCCACGCAAATTTTTCCGAAAAAATCTTTTAGACTAGCCTAGGCCTAGGCCGGTAGGCCTAGCCGTACGGCGCTCTACCCTCTAGCTAGGCCTACTAAGCTTTGCTTTGACATAATATATAATAAATCTGCTACGGGATGTCAAACAACCAGTATATGATGTTCAAAAAACATGTGATATGAATAAAATTACCATTCCTGTCTTGCCGCACGTTTATATTTCCCGGTAAACCTAGGCG